CCTACCCTGACCTCCTTCAAACGGGCTGTTGAAACATGGTTTTTCCTCTTGTGCCTTGGGCTAGGCCCCTTGTGCGAATACATTGTGCAAGAGAATGTTATTTTCCTTGTCATTTTAAAATTGTTCTAATCTGTTTTTAATACTGCATGCTGCCTAGAGTTGCTATGACATTGAGAAGCTTTACAAATTTGAAAAATAAATAAATTGATGCCAATAGATACTATTTAGGTTATCTTTGTATTGTAGATGTATAAAAATATATACATTCAATTCTAGCATCTCCAAAGAATTTGGGGAAGAAGACCTGTGCTCAAGGAGGGCCACAGACAACCACAATAGATAAAAGGGAGATAGAAAGTTTCATTTCTTTTAACTTAAGATAGTTTCATCTGTATACAATTGTTGAGTTGAAAGGTAGTATCACAAAAGTGAGATTAGTAAATACTACTGGGTATGTCAACTGAATCTAATTCTTTGTAAACAGAAACTGATCAAAAGAAAAAATCAGAAAAAAGGGCTTTTCAAAACTATTGATGTGCAATATATAATTAGATCTCAGTATCAGTACTTGGACTTTACATTCCAACTATTTATTGCTAATCTAAAGCACCGAGCACAAAGTAATCCAAGCACACAATGGAGTATCAAAAGACTTTAACTTCTATCAACTTGAGAGTTTTTAATAACCATCAGCTTTCATGACTTTCCATTTTTATTCAATAAGCATACCTCAAGTCTTAGACTTGATATATAGCATTGACTTAGTTTAATTCAAGCTTGATCAAAGATCAAATAATGCATCTGCTGAGAAGGTTGGATAGTAAGTGCTCAAAAACTATACATATAATAAAGATAAGTATCTGTGGACAAGCTTGCTGAGCTTTACATATAAAAATTGGAGTTAAGATTGATGATGATGAAAAAACATATATTGAAACAACTTAGATACACCTACTCTCAGCCATTTTTAAAACGCACAAATGAGAACAACTGTCTAAAAGACACTTGAGGGCATACTTAAAAGCATTTTTTTTTTTAAAAAAGGCAACTAGTCTGTATTTAAACTTTTGCACAGAAGTAGACCCACCATTTATCACTGAATTCAACACATGCCTTTAATAAACTATAGGATATTTTTCTATATATGCAGAACAGTACAGAGGCTGTTTAAGTTCATCCTTCTTGGAATCATCTCAATTTTCTCTGGAAAGGATAAAGAAACAATGTATACAGACTAAATATGGGTTGATGTATACAGGACACTCCGAAGCTATTTTTAGCTTAGCCATAAAAGTGTCTATAAAGCCTCAGCTTAGGAGATCAAGAGAGTCACAAGGACCCACCTCCCCTTTCTTATATGAATTTCTCCATTCATTTCACTCCCAGTGTTGTTAGATATACACATCAACACTAATTCTGGAAAACAGTTATTGGGAAGGATGTTTGTAAATCCAGGATGACTCAGATAGTGATAAAGTCATGATAAATTCATAAAACAAATAATAAAACAACTAAAATAAATAATAGAAAGTTTGATAATTTCATATAAAACTGTACTTGAACTGGTAGTACACTTTCACTGCTAACCCTATTGATGAGGTAGGGAAAATTATTCTGACCAATAATTGCAACCAATAGCTCTGAATTCCCCTGAAAAATATAATGGGCAGATTTAGTACAGATTAAAGTAGATTAGCTGAAACAAAATTTGATGAATAGGATTCTAAGGTAGTCACCTAAGCAATAAATAAAGCAACAAACAACAGAATAACTTGGTATGCTTTTCAGCCACGTCACAAGAATTAACGTGAACATACGGTGCAATGCTTATTCTAATGTTTTATATATATATGTATGTATAAGATCAAGTTGGTTATGTTCTCAAAGGTGCATCATAGCATGGCATGGAGACGGTAAGATATGCAAAACTATTTTCTACTATACTATACTACTATACATTCTACTATGTTTAGAATGGACTATTATGTGCAAAGTTAATGTTGTTCTTCTTACAATTGTTACTGGCAAGTAAGACGCATTAGCAGCCTTATTTAGAAATATATTTCTACAAGAACAATAGTGCTTACCCCACTCTATGGTTTAAAGACCTTTGCTTATTCATATTATAATTAAGAAAGAATAATCTTAGTAGGTGGACAGTGTTATAATTCTTAAAGCTCAATGGCTAGAAATGTTTGCATAAAAAAACAAGGAATACATATATTTAATGTGGTGCATGGGTGTTTTAATGCAAAATTTACTTAAAAGTTCCAGTTCTTTTACCTTTGCTAGAGATACATTGTTTAAGCTGTTTTATTGGTTTGCAGATGAAACGCATATTACAGAACATCACATTTTAAATAGATACTAGCAATAATAGCTCTTAGATTTATATACCACTTCATAGTGTTTTATAGCACTCTCTAAGTGGTTTACAGAGTCAGCATATTGCCCCCATATTGGCCCTCATTTTACCAACCTCGGAAGGATGGAAAGCTAAGTCAACCTTAAGCCGGTCAGGATTGAATTCCTGGCAGTGGGCAGAGTCAACCTGCATTACTCCATTCTAACCACTACGCTACCACAGCATAATGTTTTAAAGAACAGGTTATGGAGTGGTCATACGTAATGGATTCCAAACATGATGACAAAGAGATTTGGAATCTTTTTTCAGTTCACAGCGAGAGAATTATATGCTTATAAATAGTTGAATGAATTCTAATGTAGACTAAAAACTGTAAGTACCATTTTTTAAAAAAAAAATCCCATATATTTAATAAAATACTCATGATGAACTGGCACTGCATCTAAAAATGACACTAAGGACTGTGTCCCATTATGTCTTCCTTGTGGAAGAAAGCCAACCGTCAACAGAAAAAGCAGTAAATCTCATATGAGAGTAATTCTGGGGGTCTTGTGCAGAGTAAGGGAAGAAATCTGCCCAAAACCTCCTTTCCACTAGGTAGCATAGATGAATGAAGGCACAGCCTATCACCCAACTTCTTAAGAATCAAGATTGTCGCTTAATCAACAATGGAATTCAACATTGTAGAAGACCAATTGTAGTCACCATGCACACAATAAAGATTTGCTATATTAATATACTAAATGACATGTGTATTTATGATCATCAGTAGCAGATGTCAATAGCTCAGACTCTTTTCGTTTTAATTGTTTTTGTATTCCTGGTAGTTTGGATTGGAAAACAAGAGAGGCCTAAGCATCACATAAGAAAGTAATTTCTTCCTAAAGACATTTTCATGTACATGATTTCATGTACAGAAATCATGTACATGGAACTAGAAAGGTTGTGGCTGCTAACTAAAACTATATAAAGTTGTATAACAAGGAGTCATTTTTAGTGTTTTATTGGGTCTGTCTGTTTCAAATAAAACACTATTGCTCCAGAGCACAGAGAAAAAGTCAGAAATAAGAATAGCTAAAAGTTCTACAATAATGCTACATACTTTACTCAAATTGTTGACCACAATGGAGCTTATTTGTTAATAAATTCTTACAGGATTACAACTAAATGTTCTATTAGTTGGGGATTTAAAAATGATTCCTTTAAACCGCACAATTTTGTAAATAAATGATTTAGTTGCCAAAATGAAGAACAAGATAATTCAGGAATTTAATGAATGACAATACTACCAAAGCCTCTCATTTTTATATTATGCCACTAACCAAATTTGTGAAGTTAGCACTTTTTCTACTTTTTTGAGTATCAGCTGGATGTTTATCCTTCTAGCAGAAAAAGTTTCTAAGTATAGTACTTTCCTTTTGTAAAACATTAAAGGCAAACTTCTTTGAATTATGCAACTGGTATGTGCTGAAATGGGGTCTCAGATCAAGTCACTCAGCAGCATACAGTGTGGATCTAAAGAGTATGCTTGACAGAAGGATCATGAATTACTTGTCTGCTCTTCTCTCTTAAGATACATTCAGCATGTGTTTAAGATTCTCAATAGCAAAAAGCTACAAACTATATCAACATTGCAGGTGGTGGGATGGTGACTACTATAAAATGGTGTGTGAATTATTAAAAAATCATATTTAATGAAATATTTGTTTACAGTCAGTAATAAAAACCTTAAAAGTAGCATTCTCAACATTAGAGGATTTAAGACTGCCAAGAAAGCAAAGGGGGCCAAGGAACCATTTCTATTACTCAAGTGCTCTTTAGATTCAATCGGCTATAGACTTACCTGGGAAGCAAGCCCCTCTGGGGATGCCAATACAAGTGATGAAAGCCACAATCATTCAAAGTCTACTTCAAGTAGCAACAGAGCAGAAAGTAGACTATGAATACAGGACAGAACATTTACCAGCCCAGTGATTGAAAACAAGGCTAAAATGTACTTCTGCTTGTGATTTCAGATAGCTGCTACTACTCAAAAGACAAAATATTCTGGTGAGCCATGATCATAGAGTAGTGAAGCTTCATGTTTTTGAGGCAATAGTTTCTTATAGCTAGTTCCAACTAGATAAATAGGCTGTAAAGCGTGTTCAAAAATATGCCTTTTTTCACTGTCATAACACATTAAATATATTACAACTTCTAAAGAGCCAGCTGTACGATATAATTCAAAAGGAGAACTAACAGAACTCACAAGTGAATGTTATTTAAATCTATTGATGTTTCTATAGTAATATCTCTGAACTGAAGATCTATAACATTCCCAACTCTTACTCAAACCTGTAAGTTAATTTGACAAACATGTGTAATTACTATTTTTCATGGCAGAATAGTTTCTATGGATCAGGCTCAGTGAATACAAAGATCAGCAAAAAGGTAAATGGCACAACAGTCTAGGGCAAAACTATCTTGAAGCTACAGTCTTACGCAAAAAAAAAATGCTAAAAATTTTAAACTTCATTAACTTTAAGAGAAATGACAAAGTAAAAATGGAAACATGATCATGAACTAAGTAAATAGCCTTGTTCATCTTCAGAATATCAAAGTTCACTGTCATTCTGCTAGAAATAAATATATTTACCCAGAAATGTGCATGGCAATTAACCATCATGGTCCTCTCAATAAGCTCATCAGGACATTCCAAAAGATGGTGCCCGGAAACAACACCAGCGTTGTTCACGAGGACTGAGACTTCATCAACCTCCTTGCAGACTCTCTCAGCAGTCTTGTACACATTCTCTCTGTTGCTCACATCACAAGTGTATGTATGAACTTGTAAGTTGTACGGAGGTAGCACTTCCTCTTCACCATGCCCAGCTGCTTATAGAAATCCAGAAAAGCAAAGGAGAGGGACAAATAAGAATTTAATTAAATATATATTCAGTGTTTCCATACCAGGAAATAAGAGGCAATTATTAATCTACCCAGTTTGACAAGATTCTTGTTAGTCCTGTTCCAAAAAATAAAGTGTGACAACTACTGTACATACCAAAACAATGAAGTACCAAGCCCTACAGAGCTAATCTTCAGCAGTGATCTACTGATGCCAATTGGAAGGTAACACGACCAAGGAATGCACCATTACTGATTAAAAAATGAAACTAAGAAGCCCCAAGCTCAGTGGGGACATGTAGACCTACCTTTTCCATATTTGTTCAGAAACAAGCATTATTGAGTACCATTAATTTATTTTGCAGGCTGCAATCTTTGAGCTATTTACCTGGCAGTTAGTGCTACTGTACTAATTAAGGCTTACTACCAAATAGATTTAACATTATTTAAAATTATTTATATCATTGTGCAAAGTTATTATTATGCCAGTTATTACTTCAAGCAATGTCTACATCCTTATGTCAAGAAAAGTATTTGACGTGAGCCCTTTTTGCTTATTTTATATTATAGCAACTATTTCTTAAATTATAACAATTTATTTTAAAAAGCCTAACTCCTACTATCATAGAAACAAATTCTGTTGTCACCATTATCATTTTCTGTAAGTTTTGAACCGTTAAACTTTCAATTATTTATCCGGTGTTTTTCAGTCGTTCAAAGTCAAGGAGTAGAATGACATGGAAATTTATTTATTTAATTTGTACAACCACCCATCTCCAACCAGTGACTCTGGATGCAAGCAATCACGAAACATTTAAAACAATAAAAATAAAAGTAAATGCAAATAGCTAAGAGACATCATAATACAATACTATCAACCTCAGTCAGTTGAACAAAAAAAATGCCCAAATTCCTAAACTTCTTGGGTGACAGGAATGGAGAATATTTTCCCAACAGCCAATTTCAAGGATACTCTTCAATGCTTCTCCTCCACCCTCCACTCCTACACCCAGAACTTTTGAATATTTTCAAGTCTGCTGCCCTTAAGAAAAAAGCAGGATAAATCACTCTGGAGAGGCTGCAAAGCAGCAATGCAACTCAATGGACCTCCTTTGTGACTTGTGGAAATGTCTCCTCCTGCAAAACACCTGGATATTCCTACCTTAACGGTAGGATATTCCTACCTTAGCGGTTAGACCAGAACCAATCAGTATTTTTATTCTAAGTAAAGAAAGCTTAATACATAGCAATGCTTCTGAAGGTTCATCTAGATATACATTGAACTCAGTGAAACAGGAAATGCCTCTTCCAAGCAAGCACTATCAAGAGTAATAGTTTCAGCTGTGGCAATCATACGAATTTTCTCCCCTTCTCAATTCAGCGCACCTCAGGCCAGGAGGTGATACCCACACAGTCCAATTTTCCTTCTTTGATGGATGCCGTACTTGGTGCCATCTTTTCTTCCCCACTCGGAGAATTTGGCGCCCGCTTCACGCGCCAACGCCAACCCCGTTACCTTTCTGAGCCGCGACCACAGCTTCTTCCGAGATCTCCCGGTAGATGTGCCGCACCATGCCCGCCGTCTCCTCGTTGCTCTGCGTGTTGATGTCCCACAGGACCAAGCGTGCTCGGCGGCGGGCGAACTCCAGAGCGAAGAGCCGACCCAGCCCGCTACCGGCTCCGGTGATCAGGCACACCTGCCCCGCCACGCTCTTCTCCTTGGGGCGCATCAGCCATTTGGCGGCGGCCACCACGAACGCCCACAGGACCTTGAAGGTGACCACGAAGAATTCCAGGATGATGTTCATGACTGCCGAGCCTCCCTTCGACGGAGAAGCCTCGGGAGATGCGGGGGAGCCGCGTCTGGCTTTGGCGCGAGCGAGGGAAGTGAGCGCGCGGGGTTCCCGGCACAGGTCTTGGGCACCGGCGCAACCAGTCAAAAGCAGCGGGCCAGCTCAGAGCAGGAAGCGCCCGTTCTCGCGCGCCTTGCCCCGAGCAATTCAGGAGAGTGGCTCCCACTCTTCAGAGAGACAGGCAAGAGTCTCTCTCCCTCTCTCTCTCTCTCTCACACACACACACAAACTTTGGACAGTCTCTAAAGACACCTGGCTGGCCGGGACGGACCTCCAGGGACTCCAACTCCTCCCCGCCTCTGACTCAGCGGGTTGTTTTGTGCGGCGAGCACAAGCCCGATTACTTAACGGCCACCGTGCCTCTCCTGCAACCTACACCCGACGAGTCGACTAGGGAAGTCGGCAAAGTAGGAGAGCAAAGTACAAGTTCTGATCAAAGCAGCCGGCGCTCCCGACCAGGATTTCCCTGCGTCCTGCCTCACCCGCTCGGGCACCGCTGGGCTCCCCTAGAAAAGGGCGTGCTGCGCGACCACCTTGCCTGCTTTAACTAGAATGCCGAACGGGGCCAAGAGGCGGCCGCTTCGAGCCCCACTGCCGCTCTTCCCACGCCTCCTTCCCCAGCCCTACCTGCAAACTTTACCTCGCGCCTACGCCAGAGCTCCGCGCAGCGCCCGCTATGTGAGCATGTTCGCACCGCTCGAGGCTCTATATAGCCCCGGCGCGAGAGCGCCAGCCCGCCCCCCAACGCCCCCTCCGTCCGCGCTTCGCAGCCCGGCCCCTCCTCCTCCTCCTCCTCCTCCTCCTCCTCGTCGCCCACTTTGCAACCCGAACCGTTTCTCCCCACACATTTTCGCCCAACAGCGCCACCGTCGCAATTTGGCGGACGGTCCGGACTGACCGAGCGGGCAAGCCCGCCACGCGTGGGACCTTCCCCACCTCGGTAGGCCGCCCAGCTACCACCGGGAAAAAAAAGGCTCGCGGTTTTTTCTTTTGTTTCGCGGCGTCCACGGACTCGGCCCAGGAGTGGGCGATTGCGAAGGACAAGCCTTAAGCGCGCATCCTTTGGCAGCGAATCCCATTTAAGTCAACAGACACCTGAGTAGAGTATAGCGCTGAACTGTGGTGACACCACGGGTTAGAAGTCCCCATGGCTAAATTCACGTAATACTTACAATATACAAAAAGAGGAGCCAGGAGTTAGTTTAGGGTGGTTAGCGTGGTTTGTAAGCCCATCCAGAATTCTGTACCATCTTTAAACAAAAGTGACCATCGCATAAATTTACCCCAGAACAAAAGGGGTGGTTTTTTAAGGTAGTTCTAGACTGCTGTTTGCTGTAACAGACAAATCCTGCTGGAAACAATGTGAAATGGGAACATTATTGAGTGGAACTCCTAATTTTCTCGACAAGTGGAGAAAACTGTGCAAATTGGAGCAAAAGATAGGCGCGTTGCTTTCTACCTGAAACAGCTTCAGTCGTCCGCAAGACCACCTCGACTAATTTTTTTCCCCATCACCATCCCCAATAACCGGAGATCTGATTAATCCGATCCACAAAGCGGACCCAAATAGATGAAGGCATTTAAAGTTGATTTAATCCTATCCCACATAAACTTCCTAGACATCTGCAGTGATTTCAAATGGAATTTACGGCCAAGAAGCATTGGGAAAGATCAAGTTCAGAAAGGATTTCTGTACCTGTGTGACGTCAAACCGGTCATTCAGCTAGATTTGGAAGGCTGAAGTTAAGGTGACCTATAGACACCAAAATTCCTAACCGGCCAATGATATAACATCAGAATGCACCTGCCTGCATGCCTCTGTGTAGAAAGACTTGCTGCTGTAGCATGTTGTAACTCGTTTTTCCTTTTGCCCTTCTAGGGTTGAAATGTATGCTGGAGAATGTAGTTTTTACATAAGCATTTGGCTTTTCTTTCATCTTTTAGGCTTTCCCATGCTTCGGATTCAGTTTACCCATTGTAATCCTAATGAATAAGATCTACTGTAAACTAAAGCCTTTCAAGTCGAGCTTCATTCCCGATGACATGATGGACAGTCTGCAGTTTTCTTGGCACTAAAATGAAAGAGGTTTGCCTTTACCAAACTTTTCAACTAGTCTTTCATCCAAATGCTAAACAAACTAGACTCTGCTTAGCTTTCAGACCCAGCCATGTGCTGCTCTTCTTACACGCACTTTGAAATTTACATGGAGTAAATAGAATAGAATATAAATCCATGTAATGTAATGTAGTCCCCATGAAGTATTCCAATTTCCATATAGTAGCCTAGTGAAAAAGGCACTTAGGAAAAGCCTTAGGAGAAAGCTCCATTTAACCAACCTGGGTCATATATACAGTAAGGACGGCATGCTGTATTCTATTCCATGTAGACGTCACTTATATGCTTCTACACGACATTCTGTTTGATTGCCTAGAAAACGAGATATAAAGAGATTAAAAAGTAGTATTATCAATAAAATCCCAAAATTAGATTACTTTAATACAATGATAAATAATGTACTTTAAATGTCATCCTCCCCCACTTCTTATCGCCTACCCTGGTTGGCAATAAAAACGAAAGCATGAAAAATCTTTCACCATTTGAAGGAGTCATAACAGCTTCCGCGTTCGTTTCAGCACTAATCTGGCCACCAAGTGGACGCCTTGGTGCAGGCGTTAATTTAGACAGCTAAGCAGGAACAGGGGCTTCTCATTCAGCAGTCCCTTCTATTGGCCCGCCAAGCGACAGTTTATGTACTCTGCGCATGCTCCCCATCTTTCTTTTTCCGGTAGAGACCATGGCGGCCGAGGAGTAAGTAATCCTTTTTGAGAGGCAATCCGTTCCCATCCCCCGTATTAAGACCTTCTTTGCAGGCCTTTCTTTTTAAAAAAAGTTTCATCATGGCTTTATAACTTGGAAGGTTTCCCCTAAACTAGTGCAACAGGTGTTTGGAAGGGTTAATTAGGGAGATCCGGCTGAGAACTGGATCCCTTGCTGTAATGGGTGGCGTTGAGTGTTGTAGAAGCTTATTTTTTCAGAGCGAGAGAACTCTAAGGGAGGAGGGCATTTGCAGTCTCTCAGGTCTGCTATGCTACTTTGTTTGATTAATGATTTAGTCTAGGCTAGGGGTAGGCAACCTTGGCTCTTTTATGACTCGTGGACTTCAACTCCCAGAATTCCTGAGCCAGCGTAGCTGGCTCAGGAATTCTGGGAGTTGAAGTCCACGAGTCATAAAAGAGCCACGGTTGCCTACCCCTGGTCTAGGCCTAGTTATTGCCTTTCGGTACTGTACACGCATACAAGTGGGGCTGAATGGAAGACAGCAAGGAAGACGCTTCTGTTGTAAAAATGCCAGAATGTGGTCCTTCGCCCAAAATCAGGGATCCGGAACTCCGTGGTAATTCATCGCTGAAAATGGCAAAAAAAAACCAAAAAACCAACCTTGGAATTCTTCCTGCTTTTTCCATGATTTTTGAAAATAAATGTCTTCCAACTACTGTCAATCAGTAGTAAACCTGGTTTCGCTATAAGTTTTAGAATTATTTCAGTAAGGAAAACATGCAATAGTCACAGAATGAGCTGAAGGAAGTGGTCTTTTTCTTTGACTGATAGTGTAAGAATGATTGATGATGCATATTTGGATAATTAGAATAAATTCTATAAAAACTGCAAAAATGTACCAGATTAAGAACAAATATATCTCTGTGTTTATCTGATGTGCTTATATTTTTGAAGTTCTAGGTTTTTTTTTTAAATTGAGTACATTTTGTTATCAAACATTTTCATTTGAAATATCTTGATGTAATTTTTGTTAATTTGCTGCTTTATAATTTAGAGGAAAAAAGAAGTTGCCTTCAGTGCCAGAAAGCCTTTTAAAGAAAAGGAAGGCTTTTGCTGATTTAAAGGTCAAACGCCTGAAGAGACTGTTGGTCCAAAAGAAGGTAAATACTATATTTTTAATCTATCCCATGGGACGCTTCTTCTGACAGTTTACATAAGAGTACAGTAAAACAATAAAATCCAGTATGATTTAATAGCTAATTCTATGCTCATTTACATAGAATATAGACACATTGTGTTCGTTTGGCTTACTAGCAAGTAAATCTGTATCAAATTGCAAATTAGTACTTGACTTTTAATTAAAGTCAGAGGTTAAAATTGTTGCCATGGTATGTTTCATTTTGGTCTTAAAAGAGAATAATCAATTATAAAATGGCAAAAACTGCATTTATTTTTAGCTTTACTTTGAATTTTCTTTTAGTGTTTTATAGTTTTAGTGTGGCATCTACAGAATCCCCAAGTTTTTCCCATTTCAAACAAAACAGAGCAGCTTATCTTAAACATTCTGCTTTTATCTTGAGTGTTCAGCTTTTTTCCCTGGAATGGACTGCATTCAGTGTATTAAATAAATCCAATTTATTTGAGATTCACATACTACTTTATTTCCAAATCATTCTAGCTTCTATTCTAACATATTTTTCTTAATCAGTAATACCTTATCCTGGATCTATTTTTCTTAATATATCTTGCATATATTTTTCTTAATATATCTTTAATTTTACATGGATTGGCAAGATATATGCTAGAAAACTTTCTACTACTCAGGGTTTTGCAGCCATTCCTAAACTCTACTTTGCTAAAATAATTCCTGCTTTCACTGTTCTCTCATTGAAAATTCTTGTCTGTCCTCATCTGCTTTACATTTATATATAATGGTATTCACATTTATATATATATAATGCTTGAGCAGGGGGGTTGGGCTCCAAGGTCTCTTCCAATTCTGTTATCCTGCTTTAGTCTTGTCTTTAACTTGAATCTACCAAAAATGTGGGAACTTGCCCTTCCCTGCAAGAAAAAGGTAAAGAACTAAAGATTAAAAAGAGAGTAAGCATTCACTTTGAAATGACTTTAAACAATTGAGAGCCAGCACAAGTTGATTAGAAATGAGGAAAAATGTGTTGTTTTTTTTAAATGAATTTTCTGTCTTGGGCCTATGTTGTCTTTGAAGTGAAGCAAAAAAAAAAAATCAGTTGCAGTGTTATGACTAGAGTTAATTGAAATTCATATTCATTTGGTTTGATATCTAATTTTACCTGACAACATAGTTGTGAGATTAAATGGTAACTGGCCACTCTGATGATCTAGGGGGAGAAAAAAATAAATTTCTCAATATAATGTTCTCATTTCAGTTGCGAAAGGAGGAACGAAAACTCATTTATAAAAGAGCCCAGACCTATCATAAAGAATATAGGCAGATGTACCGTCGTGAGATTCGCATGGGACGTATGGCTCGCAAAGTTGGCAATTACTATGTACCTGCTGAACCCAAATTGGCATTTGTAATCAGGATAAGAGGGTAAGGTAAACAAGTGTAATGCTAACGTTTTTTGTAGCACTATCTAAGCCCTGGTAGGAAAGCCACTGTTAAACAGTTAATTCTAGCCAATACTAATTGGACAGTTTTATTTAGATATCAAATTTTTCCATTAAGGAGATTGTGATTATTTGTTAAATCACATTTACCTTGTCCAGTATTCAATTTAGGCACACTTTAAAGACAGTTTTAAGTACAATTTAATGCTTTATTTCTATCCCAGTATTGTACTGATTATTTATTCTTTGAAGTCACTGAGTCAGATCATTTTTGACACTGGCCTGAAGGGTGTCAAGTAAGATTTTTTTCCCCCTGTTGTAACTTAATAAGCTAAAAATTGAAGTTCAACTTCTTGCATACAAAGTGATGGTGTATTACTGATCTGTTAGTGAAAAATTGTAAATTAATAAATGTTAGGTACAAAATGAGTCTGTTATATGCAGAAGTATAGAGGATATAGAATAATATGTCAGTAGGGATGTGAAAAGTTCACTGATGCAGAAATAGAAATTTCCTTAGAACTTTGGAAATTTCTGTTCCCCCTTTAAACCCTGCCAAGTGTCCTCTGAACCAAGCTGTTGAGAGGGTGGTTCTGCAGGTGCTGGAACTAACTCCTCCAAACTGGAAGCAGTTTGAAGTGTTCTATGGGTAATCATAATTCTCTGAAAGTTTCCATGCACAAATCAGTGAGTTCTGTAGATCAATATATGTTTGCATTTCTTAAGACAGATCTGAGATCAGCCTAATTTTTCTACAAACTATGAATTAGTGCCTGCAGTTGTCAACCAATAGTCAAGTAACCAGTGTATGCTATGTTTGATCATCTATATACCTTCATAATTAATTTTCCAATTGCTTCTTAGTTTAGATCAGACATGTCAAACTCGCGACGTCACATGACGTCGCGCAACATATCGGGACAGTTTTGCCATTGCCGGCAGTGGGGTGGGCGTGGCTTCCATGTGACACATCCGGCCTGTGGGCCGGCAGTTTGACACCCCTGGTTTAGATTAATCAAGAAATGCATTTTTAGGGTATAGATATTTAAATTTCGTAGAAGAGAGTTTTGCATAGTTTTTAGCTAGATGACAGCATTTGCCTACCTTGATTGATACCATAAAAGCTAAGCAGGATTGGACCTAGTAAATGAGAGACCACTAAAAGGTGTTATGTTTAGGTAGGCTGGAATGCTGAAAAAACAAGCATATTGATGTTCCTAAGAAATAGATGGACTTGTATTCTTCAATTAAAGAACAGATTACTAATGTAGGGCAACAATTATATATATTTTATACTATGCAAGTTTATTAGTAGCAAGTACATTTGAATGTATATGCTAAAAAGAGTTTCTGTTTTGCTGTTTAGAATTAATGGTGTTAGTCCCAAGGTTCGTAAGGTACTGCAGCTCCTTCGTCTGCGACAGATCTTTAATGGGACTTTTGTGAAACTCAACAAGGCATCCATTAACATGCTGAGGATCGTTGAACCTTACATTGCTTGGGGGTAAGTTGAATCAAGTTTAGTGATTACTGTTTGATTTTTTTTAAAAGGAGATGTTATTTATTAAAATCTAATGAAATCTACTTTTTTTTAGTGCTCATATTCACTTTTCAGTAGTGTCTTTGCTGATTTGCCATTGGGAGACCAAGTACAGTCTTTGATCTAGAAGAGATTTTGCAACCCAGCCCTCAAACAACCCAGGTTTTATTATACCAGACTGTATAAGACTGGTATTTGCTAAATATAGTTATAAAGAAGCATGATCATATACTTGCTACAAGTGTTATAAGATGAAAAACTCTTACTTTATCAAGAAACTGGGGGCGTTACCAACAAATAGTATCTCATTCTTATGCTACAGAATGCTACAGAAACTTGCCATGATGGTTTTGGTCTGGCATAAATAGAGTATAATTTCTTTTTGTGTACCTGCTCATTCCTTAATGACTACAAAAGTGGATGTTCATAATGCCCTTGCTATGATTTAAAATAGAGTTTGACAGATAGAAAGTGATAACCACAGACTATAGAAGTCTGGAAGATTTGACTGGACTTCTCTCTTGATCTGCCTGTGAATAAGATACTTTGTTAGAAAATAATTGGCAAGCAGGTATTTAAATATATTTTAATAGCTACCGTATTTTTCCGTGTATAAGACTATTTTTTTCTGCAAACATCCTGTTCAAAAATCAGATTTATACACGAAAAAATAATGGTAACCTCCGCAGCCAGAGCATGCTTGTGTGGGTTCTTTACATGCCACTGCCAT